CTTAAGAAATCAATCTGATACTTAATAGCTTACAGTACAGTTTATAAACAGAGAAACTGCAGAACAACTAAAATATTTTGTCACTTAAAAAAGCCACATTGGAGTTATAGTCTGGTGTGATTAGAAACAGCCGTGAGGAATTATTCTAATTGCATTTTCCTTGATTGATGGATGTCAGTTCCTTAGAAGTGCAACTTTATAGTTAAATATTTAAGATTGCAAATAATGTACAGTCAATTATGCCACTACCATACACATACTCACATACTGTATTCCTAAGTCTGGAGAGAAGAATCAGATATTTTTGTCAGGTAACAGTCACTTCCATCAATCTCCTTTCCCTCATATTATATTTACATTGATGACCACATATCTATGTCATTTCTTTAGATCTGTGACTGTTAAAATGTGATGTGAATAGACAGGTTTAATTCAAAACTTGTGGAAAGGTAGGGAAGAGGTCAGTGAGAAATATGTAACCTGACAAGGTAGAAATATGTACTTTTAAAACATTGGGACCAAAATGCCAGGGTGCCATTTGAGCCTATTACAACGAATTGTAACAATTAGGAGTTAGCATTTCATTGTTAAAATGTATGAAGTGTGACTGTAATGGGTATTTTTCACAATCCAAGAAAGAAATCAGTTACATTATTTTATTACTATACATTGTAATGTCACAGAAAATATTGTCTGCTGAGAAAAATGTCAGATATAGTTGAGTGACCTTGTTTTTTAATCCTGCATACATGATTAACTGTATGATCTTGTAAATAGTTATATACTACTGTACTATTATGCTTTCTTGTGAAAGCTCTCCATTCTACATTAGAAAATATATAAGCTGACCTCTCATTTCAATGATTAGGAAATCGGGACCCAGAGTGGGCAAGATTTTGTCCAAGAACACTAGTAAATTCATGGTAATAGCAGGACTAAAAGACAGTTGTTGTTGTTGTTGTTGTTGTTGTTTTTTATCTTAGAACTCTTTCTTATAAAAAATATTTGTTTTATAACAAATGGCATTTGAGCCACTTAGCTAAAATGACTCAGTGAGCTGGTAGTTTTGATAACGAAAGTTTGGTTGCAAGATTTTTTCCTCCACTAATTCTGTGGTAAATAATCATATTATTCACTACCCTGATAATTAAAATGCATTCCTATCTATAAGAATTTACCTTTTGTCTGGGTCAAGATAATCCCATTTTCTAGACAGTAAATTAATAAAATTAGGTATTTAGTTTTAAGCAACAGAAATCCAGCTCAATAAGAAGGGGAGGTTATTTAGAGACTAAGAGGTGTCTCACAGAATTCCGTGACAGAGGAGTCAGGCCTTCCCTTGGCTTGCAACATGAACTGCAAAGTTGGGAATTGATGTTTCTCTCCCTACTCATTTTGGAGAGTCTGTCATCTCTGTTCTTTGCTGCATGTCTGCCTCATTCTTGTTTCCCTTTTCAGTCAGTTTGTCTTGGCTTTGGAACACATTTGCTCATATCATAGTTTTATATGATCTACTTTTTTATATATCTAGTAGACAGATCAGTTTTGGTAACTACATTCCAGCTTCTGGGAGAGAGCTGTGTTTGACCCAGGCTTTCCTCACCCCAAATAGTGTAGTACCCAGAAGAGATGGTGATCCCATAATATAAACCGTATGAGTTGGGCATTTTCCAGAGAAAGAGCTTGGTAGTGTGGGCAGTCACACCAGAATTCGTTTATTGCAGTAAAAGAATATTATTCTTGTTCTGAAGCTTTAGACATTTCTCTAGCAGACATGTCTGCATCTTAGCTTTTGCCTGGAAGACTAGACTTGCTGTAGATTTTTCACCTTTCAGATTTACTATTGTCAGCATGAGCTTAAAATCTACTAGGTTTCTGTTTACGCAATGATTTTGTGCTTCAGAAAAATAACTCCTGGATTTTTAATCTGTAAAATTTGGAAAGGAAATTTTATGTATTCCAAATGCTTCCTCTGATCTGCCAGAGTCACTTGGATCTTTCAGTGTGATAAAGTATATTATAGTGCCTGACACATTAGGCAGTCTTTAATAATTGCTGCGATCGCTCCCATTGCTGAAGGTTTGATTCTGTCTTGTAGCAAAACCAAACCAGGTGATGTGTTCTGGTTTTACGAAAGTATATAGTTCAGTGGCTAAGAGCATAGGTCTGGATTAGATAGACCTGGGCTCATTAACTTCTTTACTCACTAACTTCATGGCCACGGACATGTTACTCAGCCTCTCTCAGCCTTAGGGAATGATAGTGATGATACCACGTGAAGCAGTGCTTATAAGGCATAAGGGTAGGAGTGGTTATCATGATCGTTAATGTTTGCCTACACATTTGAATGCAATTAAAACGAGCATTTGCGATCTTTTTTTATGTTACAGAATCTGATGACCAAAACTATCGGGTAGAGGCTGTACATGCATTGGTGCACAAATTGCCAGAGAAAAACAGAGAGATGCTGGACATCTTAATAAAGCACCTGGTCAAGTAATTCTCTGACTCATATTGTTCACTTAACTACTTGTTCAAGTGCTGAAGTTAACCTTTTTCATGTCTTCTTAAAGTGTATGATGGTGCTGTGATGTTGCTTTTGTAATGAGAGTCCATAGAATGCGCTTAAAAAATGATTTGGCAGTTTATTTTTAAGATATATCTATATTTACATGTGTCTGTGCCTGTGTATATCTTTTTATATTTACAACATGAAAATAATTATATCCTTCACAACTGTGAAGCTAATGATTACATGTTAATTTAAAAATGTATGAAGGAGTTTATAGTTGTTTCCCTAATTCTTTTAGAAAAATTGTGAGCCCTAAGCTTGAAGACTGGTTCTCCAGACTACCAGGGTGATCAGGTTCTGCCAGGTCAAACTTCCACTCTAACATTAGGTTCCTTTTTTGGATTCATAGCATCTCTTGGTCTCTGAAGATTTTCTGACTCCAATGTTAGTTCATCCACGTATTTAAAAATCTCGATAGATAGATATTATATTAGTCAAGTTTCTCCAGAGAAACAGAATGAATAGGATGTTTGTGTGTGTATATGAACACATACATACACATATAGATATATATACGTGTGTGTGTGTGTGTGTGTGTGTGTGTTAGAGAGATGATCGATTGCAAGGAATTGGCTTACATGACTGGGAGATTGGTAAACCTAAAACCTGCAGGGCAATGTGGAGACCCAGAGAAGGGCTGATATTGCAGCTCAAATCTGAGGCAGCCTAGAGACAATTCCCTCTTCCTCAGGGGACCTTAGTCCTTTTCTCTTAAGACCTTCAGCTGATTGGACAAGGCCCACCCACGTTATGGAGGGTAACCTACTTTATTCACAGTCTACTGATTTAAATGTTAATCTCATGAAAAAAATACCTTCCCAGAAACATCTAGAATGTTTGACCAAATATGTGGGTACTGCGAGTGGCTTAGCAAATCTAACTGTAAAATTAATCATCACATATTTATCTAGAAATTGACACACATGCATACTCTTACACAATTAATCCAGCAGTCTCTTTGCCTTGCTGCTGGAAACAGAAGTCCAAATTCATATTTTAAACATATTTAAGAGTTCCCTTACCATCTCATTTAAATAGGAACATTTTCCATCTTGAATAAATGCCATGATTCACAACTAAGTGATTAATCCCTTCCTTGTTTGCTAGTAGTCACCCAACTTATGCTAATTTGAACTATGCACATTTGAAATAGTGCTGCATAACATATTAATAAATCTCAGCTTGTAGGCTTTGAGATGATAGCAATTGTGAATAAGTATGAATGAACGTGAATATAAAAATGGTGAAATAAGAATGAATCCACTAGGAATGACATCATTTCACGTTTACTGTTAACTATGACCCATAGCAACTCCTCTTTTTGCTAATGAACAAGGACTCATTATCCTTGGTCAGAATTAGTCTCGAATTATGTTTTTGAATTGTGTATAACCTGTTCGTGAAATTTAACTACAATGGATTTATTGGGCATTTTCTTCTCGTATTCAACTAGATTTCTAGTAAAGTCTTTTTAAATGTGCTTTTAAAAGTGAGCTGAGTGTCACGTAAAATGTTTTTGCTTAATTATCCAAAATATTAGATGAACACAAGCTTCATCCTTAATATGAGTATGTGTCATTTTGATAAAAGGGAATAGCAGGGCAGAGTATCTGACCATGAAAGAGTACTTAAAATTATTTTGCTCATTCTTCACCACCATTTCTGGCTTTTTTTCTTCTTTCTCTGTTATTTATTTACTGACTTTTTGAAGCTAATTTTGTAACATCTCTATTTTTTAAAGGTTTATTCAATCAAATAAAAAAACAGTTCATCATTTTTCCCACCCTGACCCACCTCTCACCTCTTAGAACTTGACTATTTAGAAAAATTAGCCTATAATGGAATATTTTACATTTTCTTCATGTCACAAATTTGGTAGATGAGAATATTTTATAATTATTAAACATTTAACTTAAGATATTACTGTTGCTGTTATTTGCAGAGTGTCACTACATAGCCAACAAAATCTCATGACTGTCTCAAACCTTGGTGTCATATTTGGCCCAACTTTAATGAGAGCACAAGAAGAAACTGTGGCTGCTATGATGAATATTAAATTTCAGAATATTGTGGTTGAAATTCTTATAGAACACTATGAAAAGGTAGGCTGAGTTTTCATGTGGAAATATCAAATTTTGTATCTTGCATTTGTATCATCTTGGTTTTGCATTTGTATTATTTTCAATGAACTCCACCTCATGATCTCAGATTCCTATAAAGTGTCGGTCTTGTATATTTTGTATAAATTACTTCTTTGTGAGGACTTTGATTTTTTTCTTGTTTAGTTCTAAGTGTTCCTCAAAATGCTCCAGGTAGATGGTTTTCTTTCCTTACACATCATTTACTTTTCAAGATTTTCTTCTTTTGCGTTTATGTAGTCAGGTTTTCTTGCTCATGTTCAGAGAATACTTTAGCATCATTTTTGTGGTTGTCTATTTTAACCTTTTTATCTCTCTGGAACTCAACTCTTATTTATACCACAGAAGTGATATTCTGAATAAAACAATAAAAAAGAAATCAGGGAACAGAGTCTTGAAGTCTTTTCGATATCCAGTCCCTAAGGACGATTTCTTTAAAAGAGTGAGATCTTAGAATAACTATGGAAATTGGAAATTGGGTAAGCTAACTTAATTGGGTTATTAAGCAGATTCAGCCCTTGCATGTCTAAACACTTGTGATACATTTGTGTCTGATCTAGTCCTTGTGAGAGAATGAACGTGCCTCTCTCCTTCCCCAGGTCCCTTTCTAGTGCCTGTGGAAGAATAACCTTAGTGTCTACAGTTGTAAGCTCCCTCACAACTCAAGAGCACATGGCTGCATCCTGTAGCTGTGCTTAGACCTCTCCCTGCAGCTTGTCACATTTTTTGACAGCTCAGAACCAACATGGCAGCACCTTCTCCTAAGAAACAAAGGGCCGTTCAACTGGAAGGAAAAATGCAGAATGAAACTCTTCTCCAAAGGCTACATTCAGCATAAAGGGGGAAAGAGAATACCACAATAAAAAAAAAATCAATGTGTCTTGACATAGACAGCTATTGGCTTTTGAAAGATTTCTTAAACTTACTGGGAAATCTTCTTACTGGGAAATTTCACTGTTGGGCAATGGGGTAGCACAAGAAAGAAAACCTAGAGAAGAAACGTCACTCAGTATAAATGGAAAAGAAAGTTATAATTGCCCTAGGATATTTATTTTTTGTATCGAGCATCTCTTAGCATGCAACTGATCAAGTAACATATAGTTCTAAGATTATTTAATAATTCTCAAAGTTTATTTTATGATGAAAATGGTCATTTCACCATTTTGTTGATCTTGGTCCATTTTTCTTCATGTAGATTTTTCATACTGCCCCAGACCCCAGCATTCCTCTTCCTCAGCCTCAGTCTCGATCTGGATCCCGAAGGACACGCGCAATCTGCCTCTCTACAGGCTCCCGGAAGCCCAGAGGGAGGTATACTCCGTGCTTGGCAGAACCCGATAGTAAGTGTGCTGGCCTTAGGGAGAAGCACTCTTCATTTTTTAATTCAGCCTCTCTACCTCTAATTAGGTAGAAATAGATGTTTTTACTGATGCCATCTCCCCAATCCCCCCCTCCACCCCCGCCCCAAACATTATTTATATGTTCTCTGTCAGTATAGTTGCAAGGTACCTTGAACAAGCAAATTCATTACTGCTACAAAAGAAAAATATTACTCTGCTCAATGCTTTTTTTTCTGCAGCTGTGATTAAGTACATCAGGTGCTACTTTGTAGCAGATTTTGTCCTATTGTCAAAGTGGTAGAGAAGAAAGCAGGAGAAAGTCTAGCTGAAGCAGTCATTTTCTTTCTTCTTTTCACATTATGTTCTTAAAGTATTATCTCTTGAGGATCAAAGTGTTTCAAAGAGAGAAAAAAGAAATAAAAGGAGAAACTACACCACACATTGTCACTAACTTACTATTCTGAGGCAAGCCCCAAGATGAAGAGATGGCAGCTTGAGCCCGTAGCATGTGTTAAACTGTGTCCATTTTCATGTTATTTTATATCTCTGAGCCCCCAATTTCTTTCACAATCAACATTTAATAGAAAACACCATTTTTTAAGTTTGGATATATTTGAACACTTTTTTTCCCCCCCTCTGATTTTTTTCTTATACCTTACTTTTGCGAACATTAAAAAATACACCCAGTTAAATAACCAGTTTCTTAGGTTCCTATATTCTTAGCAGGGAAAGGAAAAAGTTGTGTCTTTAAAAAATTACGAGCAGCTTGTAATTTGCAGCTGATATTTTATGGAGCCTTTGAATAAAGGACTCAGAGTAACTTATTCTGAGTTATAATCACCTAAGATCAGAAAAGTAAAAAAAATGCAAAAATATGTCTTTAGTAGTCCCTCTTTTTGTTGACTTTTTTGGGGGTGAGGATGGTAATATCAGCATGGAATCATTTCTCTTATGAGTCTTGTTTCAGAAGCAAATTTTATCTGAATCCAGGTCAGCCCACTCATGCTTCAAGAAGTAACATTATTTCATGTGGGCAGGATACATATAAAATCTCTCTTGAATAGTATTGAAAAAAATACATTCACCAAGTTCAAATGCATATTTTAAAGCCTTTCTTGAGGACTGAGTATAGTCCTTCAGTAAAGGCCCATCACTTCAGTGGGGTAAGGTGGCCACAGGCATGTGTAAATTGGAGAGCAGAAAGGTTTTGGTGGTACTGTTCTCAACAGAGAGCCACTGTTCTTTTCTCTCTCCTGCTCCTGCTCAGGTGACTCCTATAGCAGCAGCCCAGCCAGCACACCCATGGGGAGCATCGAGTCACTCTCCTCTCACTCCTCTGAACAAAACAGCACTACAAAGTCTGCTTCCTGCCAGCCCAGGGAGAAATCTGCAGGGATTCCTTGGATTGCATCCCCATCACCTTCCAATGGACAGAAAAGTCTTGGTCTCTGGACAACTAGTCCTGAATCCAGTTCTAGAGAAGATGCAACCAAAACAGATGCAGAATCAGATTGCCAGAGTGTTGCCTCTGTCACCAGCCCAGGGGACGTTTCCCCACCCATTGACCTGGCCAAGAAAGGGCCTCATGGGCTGTCGGGACTGAAAAGAGCCTCGGCTACGTTTCTCAGATCCATCTCTGCAGCCGAAGGTAAGCCAGAGTGGAGCCTTATGCAAGATGTCATTATCTCCGTGTCACTTGCCAGATTACTTAGCATGATTAAGCAGGGGAAAAGTTAATGGCAAAGGGACTAACAATGCTTATCTACTTTGTTCCTGAGCTAGGATTTTGCAAACTCTTGGGTACTGTGACTTTTTCTCTGGCTCTTTCCATCTCTGTGAGATGATGTCTTTGTAATTACTGTAGATTCTGATCTCCCTGAGTGATGGGTTGCTGTGCTTAAAGAACATTCTGTACCTTCTTATTTGGGCTCAGAGAAGAATGCTTCCTTTTGTTGTGTGCATGTACTGTGTTTTGCTATTATTTTGTCTAATAGCGCTTTGCCGTTTTCTTGGACTTTCTTTTTAGGAAACAAGAGCTACAGTGGTTCTGTTCAAAGCTTAACTTCCATAGGTTCCAAAGAGACACCTAAAGCCCCACCAAACCCAGACCTGCCTCCAAAAATGTGCAGGAGGTTAAGACTAGACACCTCCTCAAGCAATGGCTACCAGCGACCTGGCTCCATGTAAGTGAGAGACAGTTTGTGTTTGCTGTGTCTCCCAGGGGATAAATCGTGGTTGAGATGTCCAAAGGAACCCTTCAGACTCCCACAGCTACGTGCCTCATCTATGGAGTGGGTACAGTCAATTTCTGCAAGTGATGTGAAAATTAGAGTAGGCTTAGAATATATATATAAACAATCTCATGAGGAGGCACTTCAAGCACTTTTCTTAGAAGCAGAGCTATGGCTTAATTTAAGGACATGAATGTAGAAGTGTAATATAGTAGTTATGGGCTTTGAGACTAGAAGCCTTCCTATAAAAGCTAAACGTTGACTTCTCAGCTGGGGAGACCGCTGTGCCAGGCCCAGAACCCAGCCCCCGCTTCTCTCTGTTAGAAATACAACTGCTTTCTAGCTTGTGAAGGTTGGCTTTCTCTCCTCATCGTCATATGTCTCCTCTACCTGAGTGCTCACTGATTTAAACAAGCTCGTAGAGGCCATAATAGGCAAAAGGGAGCACTTCTAATCAGAAGAAATGACCTGGAAGTGTAAAGGCTGATAGGGTAAGGTACATAGACCTGAACAGATACAGAGTCAAAGAGGAGAAAAAGGGAACCTGGATAAACAGGTAAGCAATATCCAAAGAGGAAAAGTTTCTCTCCCTTTTAGTTTATTTTACTGACTTTTTCCGAGTATTTCTAAATCCTGTATTCACTCTTACTGAACATCTTTACATATGTTCTCTTTCAAGGCCCACACTATCCCTGTGCAGTAGGCAGTTTAAACCTCATTTTAGAGATAATGAGAAAAGACACTTAGAAAGTTTAGGGATTGCACTCTGAGTGTTTCATGTCAAATTTATTCAGTTAAAAAAATAAAATTCTAAAAAGTTTAAGGAACCAGTCCACATACACTCAGCTAGTAAATGGCAGAGCTGGGACTCCAACCCAGGTTCCTCGAACTCGAACTTGTGCTCTTTCTGTAATGCTATGCCCATTTTTTAATATGGTGGTATTTCTGATATTTAAATTTTCCTCACAAGTCCCGTAAGACATTTTACTAAGCTTGTTTCCATAGAAACAGCCTTAAATTCATTTGTTCCTCCTTTTCTTTGATAAAGACCTTTGGTTTCAGAGAGTGTTTAATATATATATCTCTCTCGGGCAGTTACCATGATATAGACAAGTATATTTACAAACCTGTCTACACCCTAGTGTGTATAGTTCTAGCCATTAAGGGAAATTAAATTTTAAGCCACTATGTCCTGGATGGTGGGAGAATAGAAACTCCATCCTTTGTAAGAGAAAGAGAAGAGCTTCTGTTTTGTGATTGTACTGATAGTTAAAGAAGAAATTAAAATGAGAGAGAGTATTTTCCGTGTTAGGGGTAAAGTGACCCTTGAGATTACCAAGTAGCTTGGCTCTGGAAGTTTGTAAGAGAAATAAGATAAATTTTTTAAATTGTGTTCAGAATATTATTCAAGGCATTTGATCTCTCTTCTAGGAAATATAGAAACTTTTCCAATTACCCAGGGTACCTTAGTTTTAATTTTTTTTCACTTTCTGCATAGTAGTCTTACCTCCTCACATAGACCATGCCCTTCCTCCCATGATTTGAAACAAAATTTGAGTCTCCAAATGTATTTATTGGCCATATTTTCAGAATTATCTCTTTCTACTTTACAGAAACTGTGTTCAAATATTTAAACATATATGAAACTATTTTAGAATTAGTTTGTCTTAGCTATCAGAATGAGCAATTCTTTTGTCATGTTGATTTGATTTTTCTCTGGTGGCCCACAGGAGCACAGGAGTCAATAGTATCGCTATCTGGAGCAAAAGAGGGAGAAAATGTTCCTTTTTAATGCTCTCGCAATTTTCTGACATAGAAAAAATGAGAATACTAAGATCCCCAGAGGAGGTAGCTGTATATTACAGATCCGATACTCCATGAGACCAGAGCTAAAACTTACTTCCACATTAAAGCTTAAAACAATTAAAATTCAGGTCAAATTTTAGGAACAGTTTTTTTAGCTAATCATTTTTTGTTTTAGTTAACTGATTACTCTGAATTTCACTTCGAACTAATGATTTTCTAATTTAATGAAATTTGCATTTTAAAATTATTTTTCAGTGTGGCAGCAAAAGCCCAACTGTTTGAAAACGTTGGTTCACTTAAGCCAGTTTCTTCTGGGCGGTAAGTCCTCAAAACTCTTAAAGTAAAAAATAAAATAGTGGTGAAATTGTTGCCTTGTGTTGGCAGTGCAGGTCGTCTGCACTGCAGCTCTGCAGCTCTGCCCCTCTGCCCCTCCGTTCTTCAGATGGTCAAATCCATGTGCCCTGTCCCTTCACAGGAAATGGTCCTGTCTGTAAACAGCATCTCCGTTTCAGTGATGCTTCATTTACTAAAATCTTTACAAAGAAAGGGTTCTAAACATGTTTTCTAAAAAACACAAGTTGCCATAACCGTTTGTTTGCATACCAAAGACTCCTTTGACGATAGTTTGTGGAAAATATTCGAAAGTATATTCTTAACTTAAAAGTTATGGAACTTTTTCTGGAAATATCTTTGTGAACATGCATTGAAAAAATATGCTTATTCCTAATGGCCACTGTGGTGCTATAGAGCTGAGTGCCCCAGGTTGCTCTGTTTTTTGGAGTACAATACTTCATTCTAGGTTGCCAGATTTTACCTTCCTCTCCATTGTTAAAAGGACACAGGTTGTTACATCTTGCTGCTGTTAATGTGCTGGCTCTAAGGTTCCTGCTTTCCTCTTTCCAAGTTCCAAATTGATTCTTTCTATCCGCTGTGGGCTTAGGTTTTTAATTTGAATATGTCTAAAATAATGGCATTTCTTAGTATTTTGATTTTTTTCTATATATTTTTACCACCAGCAACTAGTACAGGTGGGAGGCATTGAATAAATGCTTGTTATTGAAAGCAAATAATTGAGAGCACTTGAAGAACAAACTCTGATTTTTCCTTTGGATGTCCCAAGACAGTTTTGAGCTTCCCATGTCTGAATAATTGAGTCTGTGAAATAAAGGAATCACAGATAATTGAAGTATTAATATGTAGTTCTTTAAAAGTTATTCAACCATAGAATTCATTTCAACCTTATAGAAAGTATTTGGACTTAGCAAGAGTTTAAGCACCTACACAATTTTGGGCTTGTGCTAGTTGCCAGAGATAACAGTAACATTCAAACTCTTGTTTTTGTTGTTGTTGTTGTTTTCTTTTTTTCAAAGCCTAGACAGGCCTTTAGGTATTGGTGTTTTTAACTCCACAGAGTATAGCCATGTTGGTGTCTTTCTAGGACGTTGGTCAGTGCACTGCATTTATACAGCAGGTTCCAGAGTACTTGCATATATCTTACCTCTATCTGTGGCATCTTTACCTTCTTAACTCTTTATCAAGACATGATGGAAACTAGGCACCATGCATGTCAGAGCAATCATATCTCTGAAGCTGTCCTCATTTTTAGGCCTGAGTGTAGGGGATTTAACCTTGCTACTTCTGTCCAGCTATATAATTGAATTGCTCCACTAGATGGAGCCCGTTTATTAGGAAGCTCTAAACAATCTATTAAGAAAGAATGCAAGTATTGTAATCAAAGAGATAATCCCATGGAGCTTTAAGAAAGCAAGCTATTAATGAAGCAAATCAGAGTGCTGTCATATCATAAAGATATATTCAATTATTCAACAATCAACCTATGCATTTTTAATATGCTTTTACATTCTAAATACTACTCTAAATCAATTTTTAATGACTGTCAGCATAAACTTAGAGCTCACTCAGTGATACATTGAAAATTATGGTCTTTCTCTGTCAGCTAGTGCATAGCACTGTGGACCATGTTGTAACTTTTCACCAAGAGATTCTTGGTCCAGCACTTCCTAGTTGTGTAACTTTTGAGTTACATATTTAAGAAATCTATTGTCTTTATAAAATGAAGATCATAATTCTGATTTTGCCAAAGTGTTATAAATTTCAAAGACACAGCAATGTATTTGGTAAGTTCTCCATAGATGGTCTTTATAATAACAATTATTATTGTTATAACTTTTATTGAAACTGCTTGCTAAAGGTAGTCAAGCCTTAATTAATATATTAATGGTATTTAAATATTAACTTTTTAACAGTCACCTGATACTCCTTGGTACCGTTAAATACAACTGAACGATAGAAGTTGAAGGCATTTCAGTTACTACTCTACAATGCTTATTTCGTGTTCCTTTTAGAGAACTCGGAGTTGCCCTTGAATTAGACCTTGAACAATGCTAGAACCAGTAGTGGGTAATGGGAAGATATGTTTGTGAAAGAGACTGATTAGGAGATTTTAATGGATGGCCCGAGCAACAGAAAAGTCACGTCTCTGGAAGTCATTGCAGGCTCTGGGAGCCCTTGAGCAAATGGGCGATCTAATCGACGGTACACCTGAACTGATCATTCCGAGTAGCCTTTCTAGGGAGTTGTGAAGAGGAGAGAACAGTCAGCCATTTTGGATGGAACTGGTGAAATTTAAGGCCTAGGGAGATTTAAAAGGCCTTAATTAGTGCAGTAACAAAAGCATGACAGGCAATAAGGAGAATTTTATGGATAAGATCAGGATTGGGCAACTGCTTTGATACTGGGAGTGAAAGGCAGATAGATAAAGAAGATTCTAAGTCTGAGACTGAGGTCAGAAAGAATGGCAATTTAGCTTCTGGTCTCAGCTTGTGAGTATAGGAGGGAAAGAAAGTCCAGAACCTTTGAGGAGCCTGAACATGGAGAGGCACTTAGACATGTGAGCTGGAACCAGGAAAGAGCATGGAATTTGATGCCGTTAGAGAAATTTTTATGTGGCAGTTACTCTTCACATATGAAGTTGAGGCTTACTGAGTGAAAAGGAAAAATGACTGAGCATTGTTTGGTCTTTGGGGAATAGTTTTATTTAAGGGTCCAGTGAAGAAGAATGCAAAAAAAAATGATCAGGAGGAGAAGGTATAGTCAATGTGGCAGAAACTGCAAAAAAGTCAAGGAGATCATTAGAAGAAGACACTGGCTTTAACCTCTAAGATATATGTTACTTCTTGGGGATTTAAACAAATATCTGTGTGCATTTTTACTCCCTTCAGAAATGAAATTCTCAGCACACAGAAAGGATGAGTGTGTGTGTATGTGTGTGTGTGTGTGTGTGTTTATCACTGTTTGGTGGCCCTCCAGTAAACATTGTATCAGTTTCAATTGATGGATTCTTTAATTTGCTAATGATTAAGGTAAGCATTGCAAATTTTGCACACTGACCCTATCAAACCTTTGTAAGTCTACTGGTCAGCATCAAGCAGCATTTAGAATTAGGAATGGAGCTTGTGATCCGATCATCTTTTTTGGATGATGAATGTCATTACCTTATTCTCCCATGCAGTATGAAGCAGGATTTTCAAAATCTTTTTCGAAAAGATTAGAATCTTTTGAAGAGACTCAATAGGTGACAGGTACTTTTCACATCTTCTTCAAAACACCAAGGCATTAGCACCTAGAGAGAAAACTTCACTCTCACAGAAGTCTACATTAAATCATAAAAGCTCTCTGTTGAGTTAACACCTGTAGTTACAGAGCCCAGCAGAAGAAAATTATACCTGTCTAGACACATGCACGGATAATTGAAAAGTCATGACATATTTTTTGTACCGTGTGTTTTTGACACATTTAACAATGTCTGTTTATTTGGTGATATAATTATTCTACATGCCTTTTTCTACCATCTAATCTTATAAAATACTATAAAGAGAACTTTCATGTCTGAAATATTAATAAAAAGTTTAGTTGGCTTTTTTAAAGTGCAATTTCAAAAATTATATCTTTGCAAGGATTATTATATCTTAATAATTTCTGTAAGTCTGGAAATTGTTTCCTTCTGCATCTCTTAATTTATTTTAAGGACTCAAGGCAATAAGACTTCATGTTTATTGGAGGAAATTGTTAGAAAATTTGATTTTTTGGAAAACCTTTACATATTTACATCAGATATCAGATCAAATGATTATGTTTGAATAGAAAACTTATAAGAAAAACTAATATTTTTTTTCTATTTAAGAGTATCATCATCTGCTTCTTAGAAGTCTTTAAAACTTGATATCTTCTCCCGCCCGCCCGCACCATGTCAGCCAGTACATCCATGTGCATGCATACATGCATGAGTGCAGGCCTTGACTCATTCATTCTCCTTCCTTCTCTCTCTCTTTCCTTTGGTGTAAAGCCCTGTTCTTCTCTGGGTGCCTCCATTTCCTCAACTTTTCCTTAAAACATGTTTCATTGGAAAGTGAGCTAGTGATCATTCCCAAACCTGACAGCTGCAGGCTCCCCTAGCAAACTTTCTGAAAGTATAGCCTGAGACTCACCTCTTATGAAGTAGACTCTGGGGACAAGGCCAGAGTTATCCTCTATAAGCTTTCTAATCTTCAGATACCCACTTAGGAATCTTGGTTTAAGTGACCTAGCCTCATTCTGGAAGTATCAGAGATATGACTTAGGGCCTAGTTTCACCAAGGAAATGAAATAATGTAACATTACTGCTTTGAGAGAGCTCCAGATGGCAAATACTACTGATGCTTCTTTGCAAGTTAAGTACTGGGACCAAAGGGAGGAAAGACGTGGTGCCTCGAATCTTTAAAAGGGCTCATCACATAGAAAAAGTGCCCAGAGCATTTGCCATTTTTTTTAATTCACTTATTTAGGAAATTATTTACTGAATTACTGCTGGGCATCAGGTATCATTCCTGGAGGTTATATTCTAACTGGGAGAGAAGAATTACAGGTGTTAAGACCATGCAGACTTAGGAGAGTATGGGCAACCTAGGCAGCTGTTTTAGAGTGTGTGGTCAGGGAAGACGTGGCCTTCAGCAAAGCTCAGGAAATTTAAGATGAACTAGAAGTACATAGCCACGTGATAGTCAAGAGGAAAATATCTCAGAGGGCTCAGCTGGGCCTGAGGTGGAATGAGTTCCACACGTTTGAGGAGGAGCGTTAGATACTGACTCACCTGATTGGATATGGTGTGAAGCTAGAGTTGGAAACCAGTTGAAGGGTTGTTATCAGGAAAATAATGCAGCCATCAGAACCTTATCAAACTGTCCTCTGGCTGCTCTGTAGAGAATGGATTGCAAGGAGACAAAACAGGAAGTCTAGAGGATTTTAGGAAGTTAGGAAGCCATTCAGTGAGCCACAATTTAAAAGGTTTTGGCATGGGTTCTGGTGGAGGTAGGGCTGGTGAGGAGTTGGAGTTAGGAGGAGTTGCACATCTTACCAAGGTAAGGGTGTTGTGGAGTAAAGGTGACTTGACCGATGGCTTGGTTAGCAGCCTTGGGTGATGGCTTTTTAGTAGTGCCTCAGGTGTTTTCCAATACATACATCTCATATAAAACTCTGAAATTCTGGCTTTTCTTAAAAGACCAGAGTATCTGGCTATGTTGAGCCCAAATTCCCAGATGGTGCAGATATTGGGAGCTGAGCATTGGCTTTCCTTTTTAAAAGATGGGTATGCTCGATGGTTTGCAAAGCTTCTATCCGTCCTCATCATCTCCCTGTCAGTGAGTCTATTGTTGGTTGCTATTTATCATCAACTTATCCATCATGCCCACTTAACTCATTTACTATACCTTGTAGACCATTTAATTTTGGGATCTCACCTTTGGTACTCTGAAAAAATGAAAGCGGCAAAAAAATTTTTCAGGGACCTATGAACCTCTATATAGCATCCAAAACAGCCTGTTTACCAGCAATTTAATAATAGCATTCTTTAAAACCAACTTATGCTGTTTGTTAGCACTCAGGTGGTTACCTTTGGAGACATTGCCTAAAAATAGAAGAAGGGCTTTTGGTTTGCTGTCAGTATTCTCTGGTTACACACGTGTGTCCAGTTTGTGAAAACGCACTTAAGCACACTTACATGTGCACTTTATATATATTATACTCCAATTACAACTAAAAAGTAATATCACTTTTAAGAGTAGTTTGAAGCATAAATACTCAATTTGAGTGTTGTGGTTGTTAACAAATTGTCTTTTGTTCTTTTAGCCAAGCCAAAGCCATGTACTCCTGTAAAGCAGAGCACAGCCACGAGCTCTCCTTCCCACAGGGGGCGATATTTTCTAATGGTAAGTGTACCTACTCCCTTGGCTTAAGTGTATCATTATCATGGGGAGGGTGAAGGAAAAGTGTAGTGATAAGAGTCTAAAGCAGAAGCCGGGAGACTTAGAATCTAGTCCAGGCCCTGCCTCTCATAACCTGTACAAATGAACACGTCATATTCTTCTGGACTCCAGTTTCCTGGTCAGATACAAAGAGAGAGAGAGAGAGAGAAAGAGAGAGAGAGAGAGAGAGCGAGAGAGCGAGCAAGAGCGAGAGAGAGAATGTGTGTGTGTGTGTGTGTGTGAGAGAGATTGATTGATGGATTATATGAATGCAAAGGACATTTCCAGCTTTGAAATTGCTGACATTGTTTTGACAATTGAGTGGATGCATGCAATCTGATATGGATTTTTACCCATTTGTGTATATAATTATTTGAAGCTAGTGTTGATTGACATTATTATTTATTTTTTTTGTCAGTGTACCCATCAGTGGAACCAGGATGGTTGAAGGCAACTTATGAAGGCAAAACAGGACTAGTCCCAGAAAATTATGTTGTCTTCCTCTAATACTATTTAGGGATGGCAGTATCTTCATGGTATCCATGGTAACAGATAATAAGTGCTATGATTTTATCTGACACAGATATAGGGATCAGCCCACTAAATGAAAACAATTTCTATCATGTTCTACACCAGCAACTATGTAGCTCCCTATTAATGGAAAAAGAAAAAAGAGCTTGAATAGTTTGCCATTCTTTTTATTTTTTGGCTGGTTTCTTATTTAAAAATATCTTTCTTTCTCTTCGATAAGTGACTCTCCACAGTGTCTCTTCCCTAACAATTAAGAAATCTCAAATACTGTATTAAGTAATATACCCCAGAAATTTGAAAACCAGAAATCTGATATAGAGATTTTGAAATCTTCCCTTAACTGTCTGGCATTCTCTGAGGAACCTTGAAATCATTACTTAAAAATGTAATTTAAATTGTTCATTTATCTTTTTCCTTAAAAATATACTGTTTTTATATATGATTGTTTTGCTGGTCCTAAACATTTCAACGAAATAATTTTTTTTAAATGTAACTTTATTTTTATTTGTTTACCAGGTAGATGATAATATTCAAAAGCAATGATGTATATGATGTCTGTAAATGAAACCAAATTAAGTCATACACTGACCCACTGTAAACACTCCGTCCAGCATTCCAGAGACACCATTCATGAGCTTAGAGCAGGGATCAGCCAGCTTTTTCTGTAAAGGCCTGACAGTAAATATTTTGGTCTTTGCAAGCCCTGTAGCCTCCATAGCATTACTCAACCCTGCCATTGTAGCAGAAAGCCATACACAGTAAACATACACATGAGTGTGGCTGTGTGCCAATACACCTTTATTTATGGACCCTGATTTTGAAGATCACATAATTATCACAAGACACGAAATAGTCTTCGATGACTTTTTAAAATCTATCTTAAAATGTAAAAGCTGTTTTCAGCTGATGGACCATAGATTTGACTCATGGATCGTGGTTTGCCAACCCCTGGTTTAGAGGATGTTTAAAACTACCTTTATGACTTTCCGATTTTTATGAAATTTTACTACATTAACATATAAATATGGATAAATCATATGCACACATCTTCTGTCATTAACATTATAGTGGCATCATAAAAGTATAATTACAATAAGAGGAAAACAATATAAAAGTGCAGTATAAAGGCATGCAACTTAAAATACTGAAGTGACAAAGAATTTTATTAATACCTAATTTTGGCTAATGAGAAATTCTCTACAAATGATAAATATGTTGTTTTCAGACACTAGTAGTAAAGCTATGCCTTCTAAAGTCTATACTTAGTTGACACAGAATCTAAATGTAAAGGTAAAGGATTCTTAAATTATTTCGAAACACAAAATTTTAAATTGTTTTATCTTTAGTAGGAATAAAATTTGTATATGTTTTTTTGCTTGCCATTCAATTTACAGCCTTTATTAGGAATTTCACTGAATTTATAGAGCGTAGAAATAGATATTTACTACCCATTTATATATATCATCAGCATCTGGTCATGCATCAACCTTTATTTCTATTATTTCTATTTCAATAATATTGATATATTGTTTCTATAAATATTTGTATGTGGCAAAGAGTCTTCTCAAGATTCTAAAAAGCTGGCTACCTGCCATTTAACTGCCACAGTGCTGGCCCACTTTGTCATATTTTACTAGTTACTTCAGAGTTCTTCACTGTGCAGCACTCAGGTATTGACTGTATAAAACTTTTTATGTGATATTATAATCTATAATCTCAGTCTCTTCTACTTTAAATTAATGTTTCTCAAGTTAATAGATTATATGCTCACACATATACACACAACTATGCCTTGGAACATTTATGGTTTTAAAATTAAAAATGGAATAATAGATTAGAATTTAAAAGTAAAGGGAATAACAGTAGGCAGAGTCACAATGAGAAATAAACATCAGTACATTGGAATGGAAAATATTTAATATTATAAAAATTAATAATATAATGAAGAAATCTGCTAAACATTTCTTTTTCTTTTGCCTCCTGCTCTTGATCTATAATCACACTATAATCAGGTGTTGCTAGAGCTTCTTGATCTCTTGATCGTTGGTGGCCCTAACTAGTAATAATAGCATCGCTGATACCCTGACTACCCTCTGCTGGAACAGAAGGTTGTCTTTCCTGTGTACCAGTCTCTCGGTCTATATAACACCCGCTGTTTAAGCACCCTTGGCATCATCTGGCATCCTATGAGATTAGAATTTCTTAAATCAAAATCGATTTTCTTTCAAAGACCAACTTGACTCAAAAGAGAGATTCAGAATCATACTTCATTTGCTCTTGCATTAAGAAATCTCAACCTTCATTTTATTTTGATACAGATAAGAGTGTTCCTGACTCTAAGTTGTCTGTGAGCTAATTCTACTGATTCTCAGTCAGGAATTAAAACTTTTGATGAGTAGGGCATGGGTGTGAAGCCCAGCCCTCATCTCTCTGTGGTGAGGCGTATCTTGTGGCAGTACTTGTTGTAGTTCCTTTTTGGAAACAAGCTACAAAGTACTCACTTAATTTGTGTTTTTGTTTGAAGTTTTAATTTTACCGATTTGTTAGGATGGTCCTTTTTTCTTCATACTGATTACATGTGTAAGCAAGGCACAGCCATATACTGGAGGCAGACTAAAGCTACTTTTCCCTAGAAATAAATTTCCTGCAGATAAGACATGTGCTCAAAATCACACAGAATATTAATTACACAAGAAAATAATGCCAGTCATTGAAGAAAGATCACATTCAAAATTGTAACAGCATTTCAATAATGAAACTTTAGCTTTTTGGAGACAACATAAAGTTATGTTAGAATTGCCACATTCACACCTTCAAAACACACAATGTGGGCACCCTAATCACTGCTTACAGTATAATCAGTATGAGGATAAGACTGATGAGTTTCAGTCGTCTTGTGTGTTATGTGAAAATATCCCTGAGTACAAAACATTTATGTATTTAACAGATGACTCTTTTGTTGTACCATAATTCTACCAAGTTTAAAGAAACTGGTCAGTAAACTGAAGGCTTTTTCTGTTGTGTTATGTGAATATGTCTGAACAGTTAAATAATGTTTGTATTCCTGTAAAGTCTGTGAAGTTTGAGGAAGTGCCATGTCTCCTTGTTTGACGTGAGTGGTTTTGCTAATTGCATCGACACTCTCTGCTTTGTAATTTGAATGAGGGTAACCAGTTTTCTCCACAATGTCTTGATTGCTGGCTTTTTCAGTGATGGTGGAGGAAACAAAATGTACCTTATAATCAAGAACAATCCAGGATCCCAAGTAGGAAAAATAAAGATACAAAATGACTTTTATTGTATTCTTATTCTAGATACTTCATTTTATATACTGTGGTATGCCTTCTAAATTTCCCCTATGTCATAAGGAAGATAAACCTGGCATCATAATCTTGTGGAGGTAACACCCTGCTAACCTTACTCCCAGCCTCATTCTTCAGGTCTGTGTCTGACATGAGAAAGGATATCATCCACATGGATACTAGTGTAGAAGAATCCCGTACAGCCTTTCTTTAAACAATTTAAATTTGTAGTGAACCCCCCCAAATTATGTGTTCAGGATGCTTTCATTAGCATTTAAAACCCCAGTATAATTTATACTTTATTGACTGAAGTCAGTGGCAGACCAATTTAGGAACAGATTTTGTTCTTTGGTTCCATAATACATTTGTAATTTGCAGCTTTTACTCTGACCTAAAATCATTGAGCAGGACCCCAAAATCATATCTTCTGGTAAAGAAGAAAAGCAGACACTTGACAGTTGTCCAGAAGTTCTTTTCCTCTTGACTAGAAGTTTCTACCCACTTAGGATAGAAATTGCAGTTTAATTTTACCTCCTATTTTTTTTTTTAGCTGTCTACCAAAATCAGAACACTTTTTTACAAATGAGGTTAACCTTTCTGAATAGTCTATATCCTGGTTGTTCCCTGTTGATCCAAACATTGAATATGAAGTATTTATCAACTAGTCTCACATCTCGTGAACACATTCATTGTATATCCATCCATGGTTACTAATATGTTCTTACTTCAAATGTGCAGGTTCTACTTGGTAGTAACCTTGCACACTCAGGCTTATGAATGGACTTTTAGAGGATCAGATCAATAAATAGGATTGTTTACTTTTTATTTTTTTAAGGCAGCTGCATCTACTGTTTTAAATAAAGAGTCTCAAATAAGAATGTTGACAGCCCTCACAGCAAGTCATTGGCAGAAAACTGATCTGTATATTCTAGACCAATGTTTAAAGGCAGTTGTATGAGATAGGGAGCCCAATAGTTCTTCACTTCGCTCTCTGGCACTCATAGGAGTGATGCCAAGTTTAGAGGTGAATACTTCTTGGTGCTATAGGGAGAGATGGAGTCTGTGTGCTTACTGAGGAGTCCCAGAAGGCAGGGGCCATTTACATTATTAGAAACATAGATATCCTCCATCACCAAAGATGTTCATGTACATGGCTACATGAAGAACTTAACAGTTAGAGTGGAGCAGGGACTGAAAGTGCCAAGACCACCTTAATTATAAGACCACTTTCTCCCCTTTTGTATCATCTGCCATTTCTCAGCAGTGTTTTCCATGGTTTTTACCCTTCCAGAGTTGAAAGCATGCCAGCTTTGTCTTGAATCCAAGCAGACTTAAATTAAAATGTGCATTATTCTTTATATGGCAGCATGTTAGAGGTTTTATATCTGCCTCTGTATCTTCAGTCACCTTCTTTTGACAGAGCACATTGTACGTGATTTATGTTTAAAATCCAAGATATCACTACATATTGAGAGCTGTGATTTCAAGTCTTCTTGAACTCTGAGCTGAAACTTGCAAATAGGGAGTTTGTCAGGGAAGACGACTGTTTTTTTTTTTGAATTCAGAATCCTATTTATATACTGTTAAAATTTGAGGTACTATAGTTTATATAAAAGTTGAATATTTTGATACTATATTTCAGTACTAGGAATTTCTTTGCAGCCATTAACATGACAAATTAATAAATGATAAAAATGATTGTCAGTAAATTATCATATTGAATTTTTTGTTTATTTTGTAGTGTTTTTGTATTTATCTGCACTTTGTGTATTTATACACATACATACACAAACATGTAAATAACCTCATATTATTCCTAACCTAAATTGCCACAATATCTTTGATATATGTTTACATTGTATGTTAAATTACTTCAAAAAATAAATGATGTAAACACATTTTAATTTAGTCTTTGTACTTGAAGACTTACTGTGTTGGAGGGCAGCTGTGTTGATTCATATGGAGAAAAGGCAAGGTTTCAGGTTTTGTGGGTGGTCATTTTGGGAGTGAAAAATCATAGCAGAATTGATAACTTTTCTAACAGTTGGACTGTTTCCCAAGAAATTGGCATTATGAAAGATCAAAACAAATATGTTAATGTTGGTACCTATTAATAATGCAGGTGTCTGCAGGAGAAAGAAGTAAACAGGCTGTAAACAAAATAGCAAATATAACAGATATGCAGACTTACCTGAAAATATGCAAAAGTTTACAAGTGTTATGGAAGAAATATCAGCATTCAAATACCTCCCTAGATTTTTATTAATTTTGTGACTTGCTTGGTCACTATTTGACTTCTAGCTAAATTTTGCTTTTCTGTGTCCAAAAAAAAAAAAACCAGGCAAGTATTGTGTTGTTAAATTGATTGTTAGAAAGTAGCAAATCACCTAGCAAAAACTAAGAACTAAGCTTGACAGGTTAATAACAGGGCCATTGTGCATACAACCTGGTTTGCTCAAATGGATTGTAGTTTTTATCAGTATCAGAGGAGAAGCAATGAATTCAGGACATAAGACATGTTGAAATAAAAAGATTAATCTGAATAATTTCTAGTATGATTAAGTAGGAAAGAATTGTTAGAATAGGTATAGAGATCATTGTGGGACAGTTACTGTTTGAGAATGTTGAATTAGAAGGAATTAACCTAGATAAAACTCCTTATAACTACTATTTTAGAAATAATAAAAACAAACTAGTTCCCAAGAGCCAAAGCTGGAATGATTTGAGCAACAAAATAATGTAGCAGTGGATGATTGGATTATAACCCAAAGTGTAAAATACTTAGGAATCCATAATGCTATAAATGACAAATTTCATTTATATAAATAAATGTAAAATATGGGAGAGGATACAGATATTCTTTAGAGAAGAATTTCAAGTAAGTACTGGAATTGCATTACTCTTTTCCCCTAGGGCAGCTAGAGTTTAACCCTTCTCCACTGGAAGATGGGCTTGGTAACTAACTTCAAAAAACAGATTGCAGAAAACTATCGTAACTTCACAGGGGAGAAGCCTGGTTGACACTATCTTAAGTGGTAAAAATTAACAGTGGTATCATGTGATGGATTGACTTGTAACTCATAATATGATGTGATAGAAGAGCATATCACCTCTGTGATTTTCTTTCCCAAAACTCATAACTCCAATCTAATCATAAGAAAAACATCAGACATACCCTTATGGGAGACGTTCTACAGGACAAATAGTAGGCCAGCACCTCTCAAGCCTTACAAGCTCATGAAAAATAGGAAAATACTAAGAAACTGTCACAGATCAGAGGAGACTTGGGAGACCAGACAGATAAGTGCAAAGTGGACCCCTGAATTGGATCCTGGAAAGGAAAGAAGATATAGATGGAAAAACTGGTGATGTCCAAGTAAAATCTAAAGTTTAATTAACAGTGAAAAAATTAAAACAAAAAGTAGCCACAAGGTAGTGACATGAACTGGGGAAACTTTCTTTACTTTCTTTTTCTTTTTTATTTTTTTTTTGTAATTTAAATTGTTTTAATTCAAGTCTTAAATGTTTTCTCTTGTTTCCCCACTGAATTGAGATCTGTGTCAGACATGTTGCCCATTCATCGCTGAGTCCCAGGCACTAGGTCAGAGTTTGGTATATAGTAGGGTCAGCCCATTTCATTAAATGAATAAATTCATTAACAAAGGAACGATCAGTGCAAACCCTTTTAGAAATTAGAGAATGCAGTTGTAGGCTTGTGCTGTGTTTGTATCTGTGTCTCCTCGCACAGGAATAGTGGAATTCATTCTTTAACATCCTATGAATGCAAGGTTCTCTACTGAAGTTATTTCTATATTTCTGGAAAAACATACCCCCAAACATATGAACATTACATGTTTTTAAGGACAGATTAGACATAGATTTTCTATTCTCATTGCTAGACCTATAAAAACTTGATTGATTGAACTGGATGATTTGGGGGGTGACGTTGAAGAACTCGATTTTCTGAACCATTAAATGTAAAGTAATCCTAATTTGAAAATTAAGCTCTGTTAAATTTACAGTTGAATTTCTTAGACCAAAGAAGTTGTGTTGCTAAAAATGAAATTTTGCACAGCCAGCAATCAAGAAGCAAAAATCCTTTCCAAGTTTCTTATGCAACAGTTCTTGCTATTAAAAAAAAAAATGTGTAAATGAGAACATTTGAAATCTCTTTGTATAGGATACGCTTGGGAAAACAAATCCCAAAAATATTGATTGAGTGCTTACAAATGCTGTTTCTGGGTGTCTAGGGTAAATAAATGAGTCAAGCATGATGTTCGAAACAATACTTATTGAAAGAAATGTTATCTGAAACATTCTATCTCTCCAACTTAGCAGGAGCCAGCCTACTGAAATTGATTCCCAGGGTCAGCCTGGGCTAGAGAAAGGAAAATAATAACATCTATCACCCAATTTTCGTGGGTTTCACTATTCACTGAGTTACCTATCTACAGACGAATTTTTCAAGAATGAGCCATAAGTTGCTTTAGCAAACTTTCAAGTATTTTTTGGAGCAACTGGAACAGAATCATTTCTTCCAATAAATCTTAATTGGAACCCAATATGTTAAAGATGTGCACAAGCCAAGCTGCTAGTGTGTACATCTACGTGTGTGTTAGACTAGAGAAAGCCTTCCCTTCTTTTATCCAGGCCCACAGCCTCTGTGGCATTTTTATAGAAGACTTAGGGCTTTTAAGAATAAGGTTTAGAAATGACTCCCTTAGTCTAAGCCTCTCATTCTGCTAATTAGGAAACTAAAGGTCATATCAACACATTGTTAGCAGAATCATGGACTCATATCTGCTATAATCTGATCACCAACTTTTTGGATATGTGGGTAGGGCAACTTCTCATATGCTTTGAAAAGTCTAACATTATTTGGAAAGGAGATCTTCTGATGACAGATATCTCCCCTGATGGGTACGTGTGGACCAGGAAGACAAAAGGGAAGATTCAGCCATGCTTGACTGTTAAGGAAGAAAAAAATTTTGTTTTATCTTTTGGTGTCTGAAAATAGGTATAAAATATTTAGCCCAGAGCCTTGTATCTAATAGGTGTTACTAAGTTATTATAGGCCTTAGGGGTTTTATAGTCGAGTTCCCAACTCTCTGATTCAGCAAATGGCAGAAGAATCAGTGAAAAACTACAGTAAAATAAGTTAAATAATGGCTCCCAAATTTTTGGTACATAGCCACAAATCTCATGTTCTCCCTTACACTGCCACACAATCCTTTGATCCTCCCAACTATTAGACAGTCACCGGATGTGGGGGGTAAAGAAACAGCCTGAAAATTTAATTTCTCTGACTTACCCAATGTCACATAGTTGGTAGTGGCAGAGCTTGGACTAAAGCCCAGGTGTCCTGTTTTGAAACCCAGTACTTTTTACAATGAACCACCTTTTTACTAAACTGAATATGGCAAAGCTTTATGTACCACCACATTTGAAAGAGGCCTTTGGCAAACTCAACCTTATCCAGAAGAAATGAATTGGTGAGGAGACTGGAAGCCCTATCCTGTGAAAAATGTTTTAGACCAGTGTGTTGCTACTCTTAAGTGTGAGTACCTTTGGACCACCCAAGAGCTGATTAGAAATGCAGAATCTTAGACCTTCTGAATCAGAATCTACATTTTAAGATTGCAAGATGATTTGTATAAACAATACAGTTTGAAAAGCACAGGTTTAACAGAGCTTTGAGGCCTTTGGCAATATCAAAGAGCAAGAAAATACAGGACTTAATATCTTATTCCGAAGGCCAAAGATAAGACACCTTGGAAAACTCAAAAATTGAGATTAGGTTTTAAAAAAGTAATTTTTATCATCAAGCCTTCTAAAAATTGAACTCAGGAAACAGCTTTCCATTACAGGGAGCATTCGAGCTTGTCTGGATGATCACCATCTGTCAGGATTTCACAGAGGAAACAAAAATCCAATGGGTATTTAGACAAGTCTCGAAAGATGATTATTGAGCACCAGAACCTGTGCAAGTCATTGGCGATCCTGAGTAAATTAGATACCATCCTTTCAAGAGGACCTTGGTTGATTGCAGTATCATAAGTAAAAGTCAATGAAATGTTAATGTGATGAAATGCTAAAAAGAGTAAGTATTGGGTGCTATAGGGGCACAGAGAAAGGGCACTATTCTGAATTCAAGAAATGGCAGAAGCAATGAAAAAGAAAATAGATTTCATGCAGAGAAAGAAATGGAAATGGCTATACCTGGATAGATGTCACCATCCACCCAAGTTTTGGCTGAACGGACAAGCCAAAGGGCGCAAGGCTTCCACTTATACAGAGGAAGGGGTTAGAGAGAGAGAAGGAATAAAGCGGGTGATGGGGAAGGGCTGAGATGAGCTGCATTTTTTTTTTCATGTTTTCGTCTTTTTAACTAACAGTGCTAAGCACTCTTCTAGTCGCTCAGCATTCAGACCACAAAACTAGACATGGTCTTTGTTCTCAAGAAATTCATAACAAAGGAAGACAGACATAAGGATTAAAAACCACAGTAGAAATGAGGTAAGTGTGACAGAGGCACAAAGTGCGAAATGAGGAACAACTCCAGAGTTGAGGGGAAAGGAAGGCAGATGGGGATCAGAGAAGGCTGTACACCTGAAAGGAAACATCTTAAGTGGACCTTGAAGGATAGGATGTCAGTGGAGAATGAAGGTAGCGAAGACCCAGAAACTTAAGGTTGGATGCAGTTTTTCATGAGTTAAAGCTAGCCTTAAGTAGCTGAGAAGTTGAGTGCTTACACTAACATATTGACATGAGATGGTGGA